ACTTTCTCACCTGATCCCCTTTGTCTAACTTTGATACATGTGGTTATTATAATAATCATGTTGCAGGTGTGAAAACAAGGAACTAGAGAGGTTTTATACCTGCATCCAGGTCACGTGGCAAATAAGAGAGAGTTGGGCTTCAAACCTACGCTGTATGACTCCAGAGTCCCTGGTCTCATTTTCCAGACTAATGCTACCTTCTAATGTCAGCCTGTACCCGGGACTTAATTCTCTATCTGAACCTATTTGTCACAAGGTACTTTGAAAGATAGAGATTGGAAATGTTTTCTCCCTGGTACGAAGCTCAACAAGTAAAACATCTAGAAACCCTGAACCTGGCTAAGGTGGATACATTTCCGTGTGTCGAGAGTGTATCCCTTTGTGTTACCTTCATGATAGGCTGTGGCCTGGCCTGGTGTAGCCAGGAGAACACAAGAAGAAATAGGATAAAATTGTCTGGAAGTAGTATGGAACGACAAGAATTCTCCCTTACATGGAGATTGAAATTGAAAGTTGAATCACGGCATCACAGCCTGGAACGTAGCCCAAGGGCATAAAATGTCACAAGCCCAGGGCTTTCCTACCTAGTGGCTTTCTCGAGTCTCTGCAAACTACACTGACCACCTGGCTTAGTGGGGAAGGAAGCATTTAGGATCCAGTGCCTATTAGTTTGCATCCTTGCATATTATTGCTCTGCTTCTATCGATAGGTTGGTTCAGAGGTGAACTGAAGGGAGAACAATCATGAACCTGGTCAAAGTTGTTATTCTTGCGATACTGTGAAAATGCTTTGGTCTTTGTGCTCATCTTGGCACATAAAAGTATGCAAGGAAGAATCCAATGGGCTAGAGGTTAGACACCTGGAAATTACCAAACAGAATAGAGTGAATTCTCTAACCTCTTTCTGGAGATTCCAAACATGAGGGGTAGTCAAGAGTACTACATGAGTAACAATTAGAAATGTACCAAAATACATCACTCATTTATCAGCTGGCACCCTACAAGTAGACTCTCAGCTGAACTTGACCTTTGTCGACCTTTAGTCTTTATAGCACCTAAAATTACCTCTAAAGAAGTGGTTAGTATGATGCTGAGCAAACCACATATAAAATGATTTTTCTCCACAGGTAACAGTTTGAATTTTCCACGTAACCTAATGATTCTCACATTTATTTATTTCTAAATATTCCTGATTATCTTTAAATTATGTAAAACTGTGATTGGTGGTATGTAAACAATAAGTCCAGTTTTCTTTTTCTCTGAAGGATTATGGAAAGCATATAGTTTCCCCATAAATATCAGCATGGAAAAATTTTGTCGCTAGTTATTTCTGCTTTAAAAATAGCATGTACATATTATTTATTACCCAATCTGGGGCAATTTTGATAGTGAAAGTATACATTAATAACTCACATTGGAAAACCAGATGAGAGTATTCTGAGCAAAGTGGAACATGCGGTCACCATATTTAAAAAGTACTACAGAGGAATTTGCACTATAGTTCAAAGTATGTGTATATTTCAAAGCTTGACATATGATCTCTACTTCTTCATTACAATGAATTAAAGTAATATCAATGAAACAATGCAACTATTTAATTATTAAAGTAATAACACAGAATAATTATGTATTTTTATCCTCAGCAAGATTCCTTTAAAATAGACATATAGTGCAAGCTCTTATATTGTCTAAATGCTGCTTTATAGATATATTTAAAGTTACTTACTATTGTGTATAGCAACCAAATCATTATTTTTATGTCCTCTTTAAAAAAAGATTTTATTTTACATTTTATTCTTAATATGCAAAGCTACTGAGATCTTATTTATAAAGACAAAAGCATAGATAGTCTCCAAATGACATTTTTATTAAAGTCATCATTCTACACTGGTGTCCAAAGAATATAATCCAAAACAAACTATCTTATGGCACAGCGAAGTAACAATATAAAGAAGGTAGAGAATGACAAGCGCATTCTACTCATAAATAGCATGTGCTAGTTTTAATTATGATGCAGGGGAAGGTCATAAAAATATTCTAAGAAAAATTTCCTCATGGATCTCATCTTATTCATTAACCTCTTGCTATCTATATAAATATCTAGATTTGACCCGATTGTCTCAAAGGCTTGTCTGCAATCATGACATTCGTGCTACTAACATCTCTGTCTTTCGTCTAAGCTTTAAGCTTCCATCATAGTTCTAGAATTAAGTATTTGTTTACTGATAGTCACCAGTTTTTAATCACCCTTGCTTCCCATTTAAGCTACAGCGGTAAGCAGCAACTTGTTGCATTAGCAATTATCCTCTGGGAATTTGAAAAAGCTGTGTTAAATCTAAAATTTTGTTACATGTTGATGCTGGGTTTTGAGTTCTTCTACTGCAAATTCATGTTTACATATTCTCTGTCTAATCAGTAATCAAAATATTTATTTAACCTGACATATGTATTTATTTATTTGAAAAAGGTGAGAAATTCCACCAAGGATTATAGAGAACACTATCCAGAATAAAATTTATTCTTACTCTCGATAAACATATAATCAAGCAGAGAAGAAAGATCATTAGATATAACCTCAGATATTAAGTAGCATATGAAAGAAGAGGAACAGCTTTCTACAGGCATGGCGAAATCCGAAAGGGTTTCTGGTTGGGTAACTAGAGACAATGAGTTGACCATTGGCAGAGATGGTGGAAGAGGGCACTTCAGATTATATAGATATCATGGCAAAAAGTAGAAGAAATAAGATGTTGGAAGAATGGCATTAATTAACCTTTGTATTAATTCATATTAATTAATGGGCCACTTCATTGGTCATTAATTAAAAGTTCAATATTCTCCACAGAAAGGCAGGAGAGCACTATCTAAAATTAGTTTTTCTTTGAACTGCAAGATCCAAAACTAAGTAATAAGTGCAATTATCTTAAGATTCTGAAGAGTTTAGGTTCTGATGTGTTCCCAATTACATGTATTCGTTTTAAGGCAGGGCATTCAGACCTTGCCATCTGCCTCAAAGGTTGTTTTGACCTTGCTCTGCCTAATAGTCAATACAATTACAGAACAGCAGCTGATCTTAAATTGTTTCAGAGCCTCATATTCAAAATAAATTATTACTTCTAGAGATAATCGGCCGGCAGTAAAACTAATAAGAGATAAAATGGCATACAACATTTTTGTTTTGAATAATAATTGACAGAGGATGAGCAAAATTTGACCTGAGAAAATGGGACTCACTAAGAAATAAAAGCTGTAAAAGAAAATTCACAAATGAGAAAATGCATCAGATAACATGAACTAATGAAGCAAATCATTATTTTAAGATCCACAAAATAATTTATCCAATAAAAATAAATTTGGTAGATAAAAGGAAAAATGGAAAAAATATATGTCAAAAAATGTTCAGAAATTAAATTGCCTTAATACAGTTCAATACAGAAAATAATTTTAAAATTGGCGCTAGGTCAAAATAGTCAAAGCAAAGCATCTACTGGGTCAAAATAATGTGGTCCAGTGATTTGGAATCCATTATAATTTTCTCCTTAGCTAAACTGGAAGACCTTGCTTTTTCATGTTTATATCAAAATGATTTACCACAGCTCTAGAATATAAATAACAAATGCATGTGAGTTGAATTACACAGTTACTCTAAACCTGAACCATATATATGGTCATAAAATGATCATGTTTATCTGAGTCACATGGTCTATCCTGGGATTAAAGAGGGCATAAAATGGTCCTTGATTTCAAGATGTTTCCATCTTATTGTAAAGAGAGATAGGTAAAAAAGCAAATAAAAGATACATGAACTAAGTTTAGAGCAATTTCAAGACTAATTTCTTAAGGATATTTTCTCAAGATGTTTTTTAAATCAAAAGCAAAAAAATATATATGACCAGAGGCTAAGAATTCTATATTTTACTTTTATGAACCATTCTGAATAATATCTACCTTGCTATGACTTTGTATTAAGCCCAAAAAAGGTCTGTGTTGATATTCTCTACTATAAGGACATTTTGTGAAATGGTCAACAAAACAATTAAAAATGTTAATAAGCTTTAACACACACTATATCATTGCTCTCATTATCTGCAATTTCCATTCAGTCTTCACTGCTTCCACTCTAGTATAGGGCCTCAGCATTCCAAGTCAGTCTCTTTTGGGTCTCAAATGCTTCTTATTGCAAGTTAATCCACCCATTACTACCAGATTAATCATTTAAAACCATTATTTTCCATACATCACTTCATGCTCAAGTCATGAAAAAAAAATCGCTGGATTCAGTAAAAGAACAGTAAATGAGGAATACATTTAAAGTTTTTCTTAAGGACTCAGAGACAGTATCATATGCTTGAACATAGAGAACATGATAAATATTACCCTGAATCTAGACTGGCACGGGCTTTAAACTAGAGAACACTTTCCTACATAGAATCTTTGACATCGTACTTGATGAGGTGAATTCATTAACAATGGTCTTGGTCTACTGAAGTGCATGGCACAAAACCCAACACTTTTTGTTATTGCCATCACAAATTGCTCTATGTACACTCCAATGGGCACAGCTTTTATTTATTTATTTATTTATTTATTTATTTATTTATTTATTTATTTATTTATTTATTTATTATCTGATAGCCTAAATTTATTTAGTTTTTCAAAATAAATGAAAAATAAGATGTGTTACTCTTTTTTCTTTGGGATCCTACAATTTGCTGCAAGACACTATGCTTTCCTTAGTTCAATGCTATCTAAGAAAAAAGTGAGTGGCATGATCCCTTCTCTGGTCCTATTACTGGTGGCTGGAATTTAGAGCTCTTTCATAAAACATAGATAGAAAAATGATAGATAGATGATAGATAGATGGTGATAGATAGATAGATAGATGATAGATAGATAGATAGATAGATAATAAAGGCCCCACCCCCACTAGCATGCCATCTTAACTTCTTAAATTCTTAATGTATCTGCTGTTGTCGGAATCGCCTTGTCACCACAGTTTACCATTGGGTTTAATCCAGTCTGTTTGTGCTTTCCTTCTTCTGTCATCATTTTTCTACTGGGGAGAGATAGGGCTTATTTGTGAGAGCGACATAAAGGATGGTATTAAATTGACCAGCTTCTGAGAATCCAGAACTTGCTAATGTGGTTTAAGGCTAAAAATGCAAACTGGATCCTCACATACTTTGTGTGAAAAAGACTGTATCATCCACAAATTTTGCTCTTTTTTTTTCCTTCTGTTACCTGCACTCCATCAATTAGGTGACAGGTTCTGAGTGAGCAGTTTACATTGCCTTCCTTTTAATTGGGAGTCTATTCTTTATCTATGTTAAGTCAAGGCCTTTATTCTAAGGCGATTACTTTAGTCATATGATTTTAGAAAAACCCGTAGGTCTACTTGCATGATTGACATTAAAAATGACAATGCCCATGACTTCATAATCTACTGGTAACCTCTGGCAGATTCAGACTGCTACTTTATTAGGCAAACTCATTAGTTCCTGATGGCTTAGGTGTGAAGGTTATTAGCTTCTTTTTTATCAAAAAGAGATGCAGACTCCTCAGTTGCATGGAGGCAACAGCCTGAACAACCTTTATGCAAAATTAGTTATTGCATACAAGCAATGACAAGTATTACCAAATTATTTTTCTTACCTCATCCTTAAGCACAAACATCAAAAACTCCCATAAATATGTGGGTATTTTTGTTTCTATTTAGGACTTTATACCGTTCCTGTTGAATGACAGACAATGATCTTTAGTCGTAATTTACTTCAATTTGTCAACATACAATTTGTCAACATAAAGGAGGATAAGGACTCAATAATAAATAACCCATTAGTTATAATAACTCAAAAAGGAGTCATTCCAAGCTTCCTCTATAAGTTTGGTTTTTGGTGTTGGAGGCAGGAGCAGGGAACTGATTCCTTTTTTAACAGATATTTTCTTATATTTTTAAATTAAATGTATTGGGGTAACACTGGTTAATAAAATTATATAGGTTTCAATTGGACAATTCTACAATATATCACCTGTATATTGCATCATGTGTTCACCACCCAATTTCTCCTTCCATCACCATGTATTTGACCCCCTTTACCTTTTTCTACCATGCCTGCTCTCCCCTTAACAACATACCATTCAGAACTTATACCTCTGGGGAGAAAGGTAGACGGTCTCCACCGAAGGACAATGTTATGATATCTTGGATTTTCTCATTTGTAGCTTGATAATATAAATCTCTAACAACAACAACAAAAATTATCCTTAGACCTAGATTTTACAAAACTACAAATCTATTCTCAGTGAGAAAAGTGCATTTTTCCCATAATATTGAGATGTAATATAACTATTGGGTTATCGGAAAAGTCACGATGCATTTTTACAATGAAAAACAGAAAAAAATACGTCATGATTTTTCTGACAACCCACTATTATTAATAGAGCTGTTTCTATTTTCATTAGCACATGAAGCTATAATCTCAACAACAGTATGGAAAACAAAGTGGAGGAAGAAAAAATATAAGAGCACTGTTTGGTGTTGCACTATCAAAAAATGTAGTTCTGAGAATAGTCAGAACTGTTTAATGAAGATATTTTATGTAATATAACCTTATGTTATAACATTACAGCATGCAGAGGGTTAAAATACCTACATTGAAAATATACTAGTATATGACAGCCAGGCATCAATACTAGGAAAGGCCTATATTATCTACTGAGTTTATGCTCTTTTCACCTTGTGGTGTGCATGTGCATGTTTAAAAAATTCTTTCTCTAATAATACTCACCAGTGAACATTTTAACATTATTTTTTGTCAAAATAAAAAGTTGGCAACCATATTCCAGTCCCTCCAATTAAAAGAAAAAAAAAATTGCTAGCCCATAAAACCCCAAAGTCTAGAAAGTGTTGCTATTACATAAAGAACCCTTTTAATCTGTGTATATATCCTGAGTTTCTGCTCTTAAAAAAATCCTCTCCTCTGAAACATCCACAGAGCAGACAAAGTGAGCAGCTGAACTGCATTTTTTTTAAAGAATTTTTTTATTGGGGAATTGGGGGGATGGGAACAGTGCTGGGGAATTGGGGAAAGGGGAACAGACAAGTTGCTGTCGTTTTGTTCTTCAATCTAGTT